TACACAAACAGAGCAGGATTTCACACGTGTAAACTGAATCACGAATGGTCGGACTGGCTCAAGCAATGAATGACAAGGCAAGTCGGCACTCCGCATGCTGCGCTCTGCAAGTGGGGTCGGGGTTTGGGCTTCGGATCGCATGCCGGGATTTGGGAATACAGGGGGTGAGAGTTCAGAAGCAAACGAAAGGATCATCACAACTCTTGAAACAGATCATTCGGAAACAACACAATCACGACGACGAAGGTCCTACAGACAACGAGGACGACAAGAAGCACGACGGCGGCGAAACACACCCACCACAGAACACCAACATACACCAACAACGGACCAGCAGCACGACGGTGACCGACGACGACTACGACTACGAACACAATAAACCCCACATGAGCGAGCAGGCCTAGGAAAGGGGATCAACCAGCATAAACTAGCGCATTGGAGGCTTTAACGCTGTACGATCAATCGCCATCGCCTGACCAGGGAGGAGGGGTCGACATGGTGTGATCAACAGCCATCGCCTCATGAGGGGGCCTCTCGCTTCTGGGAAGATTGAAAGGCCCACTTCTGAGTTTCCTTGCACTCTTTCCTTTCATAGCCTGTTCTGCCCCGAAACCATGACGGGCCGCCCCTTCCCTTCATAGCGTGTTTTGCCGCGAAAACCACGCAAGGAAGAGAGCCATCCCTTCTCCTCACAGCCTCCAAAAGCCTGCAATGAAGGGAGCCACTCTTTCCCTTCATAAACCATGCAACCGGGCAACGGAAGGAGTTGCTCCGTGTCTTCATTGCCTTTTGCCCCGAAACCACGCAATGAAGGGAGTCACTCCTTCCCTCCATATTGCGGTAAAAACTCTTTTTGCTCCGAAACCACGCAATGAAGGGAGCTTCTGCGGGCTGCGGCAGAGTGTTTTGGGCATCAGCGTGCCGCTCGGGCGAAGAAGGGCTTAGGCTCCGTCCCACGGGTCCCACACGTGAGATCATGGCGATGTCAACAACTCTCCACCAGCATGCCCGCCCAACGTGGGAGGCACTCGGGGCCCGATGCAGTGCGGCACTAAACTGACTCAACAAGCCGTGCTCTGCCTCTCTCCAAGCAGGTAAAGAAGCCGCCACGCCCACCTGGCAGACCTAGGGGATAGCAAACTGCGACTTGAACTCTCCAAACCTCGGCGGGACCTCCGCTCGGCAAGCAATCAGGTCCGACTCGCCTCCGACCTGCAATCCCCAACTCCCGCCAAGGCTTTCGGGAGTCGCTCGGCTTGCTGGGGATTATCATTTTCCTGAAGGCATCTAACCCCGACGGCCAACACTACCTTGCTGAGAACAGCCGAAAGCTGTTCCATGCCACGGCTAAGCAGCGAGACGCAGAGACAAGGAGGGAGAGAGTGAGAGGCCAGCCGCCGCGCCTGAGCCCACGTCGGGCGAAGACTGCCTTCAGGGAGGACTCCGAAGGACCTGAGAAACAACGGCGAAAGACCGTGAAAAAGGCGAGGGCGGTTAGGAGGCAAGGTTTAGCCGCCGATTCCAATCTCCTCTCTCTTCCACTCGAAGCCGGTGCCTCCACGCAGCCGGCGGGCGGCGCGGCGCAGCTCCGCACGGAGTCGGGCCAGGCGCTGCTCGTCCAGTAGGCGGCCCAGGTCCCAGTCCTCGGATTCAGCTCCTCCCTCTTAGCCAAATCAACTTAAGATCGCCCACTTTCTGATACTGTCTCCCATATGCTGAAGTGTTCTGTCAGGCTGTTGCCTTCCAAGCCTCCGTTTCCAGAGGGTCTTCCAGGGCCAGAGCCGGGCGACCGACGACGCTCCGCCGGGCCTCCGCAAACGCTGAAGTTGAGGCTGAGCCTTTTGGGGTCTAGAGGGCACGATTCGAAAGAAGCAGAAGGGGCTGAGGCACCCACACGCTCGGCCAAACGCACCGACGCGGCCTCGACATTGAAGTCGTAGCCTCTGAGAAGAGCTCGTTGCAGCAGCTCCCTCTCCCTCTCCACTTCGTTGCACGTTGCACACTCTCTCTCGCTCTCTCTCTCCGTTTGCTACTGCCCTCTCATCGAGGCCGGCTCCGTATGCAAAGAAGCGGAAGAAGGCTTCCAGGAGCCTCGCTGTGAGTCGACTTTCTCTGTGGCGCTTTGGAACAGGCCCCATGTTAGGTCCATGTGTGCAGTCAGGCCACGCCGGCGAGGTCCAGGGCTCGGGAGACCCAGATGAATTCTTCACCTTGGAGCACGGCTTGGCTTTCCCACAGCGTAAGGTGCTCCGTACTCACTTTGGCGTCATGCTTCTGCACAACCTCCTGCTGACGGCTCGGGGTCTCTTTGACCAAGGCTTTGCGCTGAGCTAACGGGTACTCCAACAAACCGAGCCGCTAAGCCGGCGCCAACGAGAGACCTATTGGGGCCGGGGCCTCCGCATCTGCAGCCGATGCCCAGGCCACGTTGTAGCACTCCCCCGACTCTTCCCAAAGCCGTCTCTTCGTAGCCAGGGCCTCTCAAAAGTCTGAAGGTTGACCCCTCGAGACCCAACCCCTCGATGGTACTTTTTTGGCCCTGTGTCGAAAGGCCCTTGAAAGGGTCCTCCTTCGCCGGCCTTCTGTCTTGCCGGCTCCCAAGGTCCTATCATATTTTGCATCTTATAGACCATCTTATTGTACCTTATATAGTATATTAGAACCTATTATGTATTAAGTTATTGTATATACTATACATTATACATAACATATATAATGTGTATTCTATATATATATATATATATTAGAAGATATATAGTTTATATTATACCAGCCTCGACCCCAAACAGCAATTGAGAAGTACCGATAGCAACCGCGCAATTGTCGTGCAGATTTTAGCTCGTTTTCGCTTTGAAGTTTAGGTGGAAAGCATGGGGGGGGGTGGGAATTATGTTGCATCGTCGGCTCTTTTGGTCATTTTGCGAAGGTCATAGCACGAAAGCTCCTTTAGTGGTTCAGACGCAATGCATGAGTAGCATCTGTGGGTACACTTGCCAAGCAATGACCTCTCCGGCGCCGTATGCTCCGGCGCCGCAGGCTCCGGCGCCGGAGCGGACCATTGCTTACAAGGTGAAGACACGAACATTGTTTCGACTTGACGAAGCATTCACCAGTTCATTGACGCGTATGACAAACCGACACCTCCAAAGCCAAGTATGAAGACCTGGGAGACAATATTGGAATCCATGGGTCGACGGGCGTTGAAGCATCCAGGGTGTGGGAAACAAATGGGAGACAAGTGGGAGACAAATGAGTAAAACGTGTAGAACCAAGGGTCCCAGAC